CCTACTGAAAGCGGATATAGGTACTGTGCCTGGTTTGGTTAAGAAGCATAAGGAATATGCTGAAGGCATTGTATTTGGAAGGGCCAATATTTATGCAATTACCCTCACTGCAAATAAAAGTTGTAATTGCTTGACTATTTTCTTTTACTTTATCATATTTTATTTTATTGATTTTTTGTTTTTATCATACAAATATTTTATAATATATAATTATAATACAAAAAAAGAAAAAGAAAAAATATAGTTAAATGAAATGAGAATGAGATGAATAAGACAATCCGTGAGGCTCTAGCATGCCATGTCTTCCTCTTTATTTTTAAAATAATAATAAAAAAAGAGAGTTCTAATGGGCATAGCTAGATGAAATGTTTGAAAGAGAAATCAAGCAAAAGATTTGCTATTATTTTCATTTACAGAGCCCAAATGACAGATTTTATTTTTGCCATTCCCATCGCCATTGCTCTTCTTTCCATTGCTATGTTTCTTCTTAGTTCCACGCGTAATCGATATTTCAAACTGGAAAGCATTGCCGAAACATGAAAACAACTTGAACCCACCGCTCCTTTTCCTCGACCTCCTCCCTTTCCTCGATCTCTTCCCAGTCGCGGTGGCCGCCGGAGGAATCTCCGCCCGCCACCTCTCTAACTTCATCGACAGTTCCTCTTCCCTCTCTTTCTTTGTCCATTCCGATATCTTACTCGTTTCGATCGTATGAGGTTGATCGTTTCCCGGCGGTTGATACAACCCTTTCGCAATGGCCGCAGCCACGATGGAAGCCGATGGTCCCACGTCCGAGTTACAAAGCGACTCACCGTTAACCATGCTTCCGCCTTTAAAAGCGGAACAGCTGGAACGTGACCCATAATACCTATGACCGTCGTATTCGTCCGCTGTTAACTCGGTGAATCGGTCGCTTTGTGAACGGTTTATCTTGGCGTTCGCATTTGTCTTGTGGTTGCTATGGCCGTCGCCGCCGCCTTCGTTTGTCGTTTCCGATGAAATATCTTGTAATTGAGGCATGCTCCGCATTGTGCTATCAACGAGGGCAACCTCCATCTTAAGAATACCTTGAGGGCGGCCAGAGGGGCGGCGAATTTGAAGCGTGACGGTCCTCCTGGTGGAGTTATTGGTTTTGGCGTCGGCAACAGATCGCAAATGGAAGATATCATTAAACAAAACGTTAACAGATCCGACCAAAGCATCTTTAACCCACGCCGCCGCGTAAATCTCAACAACGATCTTGGCATCCTCCGAATTTAAGAACTTATCGTCGAATTTGAACGTGAACCGTTCATTCCATGTGGGATCGGTTCCGCCTTTTTGGTCGACACCGGTGGCGAGCTTCTCGTCCGGTTTGATCCAAACCACCGCGTAGGTCTTCATGTTTTTGGAGACTGAAGCGAGCTCTTCGGCCGAAACGAGGTTCATCTCTAGGATTCGGGAATGAGTAGGAGAAGGAGCCATGGTGGGTCGTTGTTGAGAGACGGCGGAGTGCCACCTCTAACACGGCCTTAATCACAGACAGCAATTTACGCATGCATCAAAGACAAATGCATTAAAAGCTAAGGACATGGGGAATAAAATACGAGTAGAAGTTTTTGGAGCGAAATTAACGGAAGGAAAGTTCGTTAATTTCGCTAGATTTTTAGACGATGACTATTATTTTTAAAAATATAGGGTAAACTACATAAATGACCACCCAACTATGGGTTTGGTCTCAAAATGACCATCATTTTCAAATTTACATCAATATGATCACTGAACTATTTAAATGATTTCAATATAGCAACTTGCCGTTAACATTTAACGGAAGCGTTTACGTGGTAGTTAACAAAACTGGTATAATTAAGACGCGAGTCCATGTAAAGTTACATATCCGCAACGATGGCATCTTGGTTTGCTTTCTTTCATTTTGGTCACTACTTGTATATGATTTGTTTCATTGGATATTCATTTAATGTAATTTGATCCTGGTTCTGTTTTTAATTTGTCTAATGTCTTAATTTGAACATTAACTTTATAATCTTTTATTTTAGTTATGTATTAAATTTATAGATTAAATCATCTAGATTTTAGAATTAATCATTGAACCAATTCTCACACTTGTTATCAAGATAAATATGTTATATAACTCATTCATGTTTAGGCGGAAAAATAGAACTAAACTAAATTGCTTTTGAATCCAATAACAATTAGTAACCAAGCAAACCTTTAATCAATAGGCTAAGTCTAATATATTAGAGTTAATGATAGAAATAAAAGTAGACAAGTGAGGACTTAAATTTAGGCCAATTGAACATATGATAACACTTAAATTGCCGGAAAAAAATCAAATATATTATGTATAATTAATTTATGATTTTAATATCTTTAAATTAAACTTATTTATTTTATATTTATTTTCTAATCATTATATATATGCAAATATATTTAAAAATAAATTAAAAATTTATTTAACATACCTGAACTCATGAGCACAATTTAAAATCAAATGATAAATTTAAAATTTGAATCTTAAATATTATTTCTTATGATTATAATTTTGATATTAAATTATTTTTAATGATTATATATAATCATTAAAAAATAAATATGAAAAAAATAAATTTAGTTTAAAATTTTAAAATCTTTAAATCAATTATAAATAAACTATTAGATTTATTTTAGTGATTTAAGTGTTGTCATATTCACAATTGGTCTAGATGTAAGTTCTCACTTCTGTTTTTATTTTTTTTATCATTAACTATAATATATATAATATTATAATTGATTCTTAAATATTAGATTTACCATATTGGTTAAGGCTTGCTTGGTTATTAATTCATTTTGGGTTCAAATCCAATTAAGTTATTTTAATTTTTCCCTAAACTTGAACAAGTTATCCAACATATGTATTATCTCAATAACAAGTGTGCGAATTAGCTCAGTGGTTAAGGCATGCACATGTTACCCTTTGGACACAAATTGGATTCCCCTAGGTGTCAAAACTCATCTTCATTTATTTTCACTTCAATTCAAAAGGTGATGTGTGTCACCTTTTGATTGGATTGAAAATTTTATCAAATTAATTAAATTAGAAAAAAAAAACCCTCTAATCAAATTGTGACATGATTCATAATTTGATCGGAGAAATAAATTTTTTAAATTAAATTGAAATTATGACCTAATTAAAAATTAAAGTTAATCTTGGTGATCAAGTTATTTGATTCTAAAATCTAGGAGATTTAATCTATATATTTAATACATGACAAGAATAAAAGATTTTAAAGTTAATGCTCAAATTAAGACATTAGACAAATTAAAAACAAAATTAGGACAAATTATTAAATGAAATCCAAGGAAACAAATCACATACAAGTAGTAACTAAAATGGAAGAAAACAAAGCAGAGTTCCAACGAAGCAAATACATAACTTTACAAGAACCCGCACCCTAATTATATCAATTTTATTAACTACCACGTAAACACTTTCATTTAATGTTAGCGACAAGTGGCTATATTGAAACCATTTAAATAGTTCAGTGATCATATTGGCATAAATTTGAAAATGGTGGTCATTTTGAGACAAAACCCCATAGTTGAGTGGTCATTTATGTAGTTTACCCAAATATTAATTAAGTAGTTAATTAACTTTTTTATATATTTATTAATTGATTCCTTACGTCATTAAAAGGAGTGTTATTCTCTTTTGAGGTCCTGATTTCACTTGTGTATGTAGTAAGGAGTGTTTGTGTTGTCATTGCTTAAGAAAAATTATAAATATATAATATTTTGTAATCACCTTGTACTATTCAAACAAAAAAATCAATTTGTTTTATTGTTTAAGTAGAATATATTATAATTATTTTTGAATAGTCTAGGGTAATTGGACGGTAATATTTATTCAATTTTTTTAATCATTGACACTACACACACCCATAAAGGTAGTTAATTGTATCCAAAAACCTCTAGAACAACTAATACTTTTTTATCACTAAAACTAGTTTATGTGTTCAAAATCTATTATAATTATAAATTTGAGAATCTAAAATTTTTGCATAAATGATTAGAGTTAATAAAGTTGAAATTATAAGTTTGATTAAGGAATGTTGTTTATAAATTTAAGTTAAAGCTGAAAATTACAACAACGTTTCCTTACTCGTTAAGGTTTCAATATTATGTTTTTGACTTTGACATGTAGCCGTAAATTTCCTAAAAGTAGGATGTTTCTTAGTATTTCTAGTAAAACATTAAGAGGAACTTTAAGTTCGTTTTGAATTATGTTAAAGGAAAACAATCGTAAAACAACTTGGGTATTGTTGGTGGAATAAATCTGACTCGTCAATTATTAATAGTTCACTCCTTTTTATTTATGTAGGGAGTTGCAATCAGTGAAAAAGTGATATTTGATCGATATTTGAAGGAAGGAGAAGAATGATCGTAAGGAAGAAGAGAGAAGGTCGGTTACGAGTGATTCATTCCTTTTTTTTCAATCTTGATTGAGATATTTATAGTGGTTTTTATTGTCCATGTCAACTGTAGTGTTATAATGGCCGTTTATAGATTGATTAGATAAATAAATCTAATGATATGATATTAGCTTTTATTTTGATACATCATGTATGCATATTAGAGTTCTTTGTTTAGTTGTCGTCACAAAAGTTTTGTTTTGTTCAGAAGTTGAAATAAAATTCAAATACTCAATTGCAAAGAAGAATTCATGGCAGGAAACCGCTCTAATCAAACTTTAACCCCAAAAGGCTAAATGTGAATCTATCGTATCAGACTGACTTTTCATTTAAATAAATATAAAAAAATTATCCAGAAATGCAGCAGTATTTTCATTGAGTATTTGCAATTTATTTTTGTTTATATTTTTGGTCTAATAAAAGAAAGAACCCTAAACAATGAAGATCCAACTGACTCTTCTTTTCTGGCTCTCTATATGCATGCATGCGTGTACAAATATGTATTCTTAATTTTCATTTCCTTGTGCCTCTGTACAAGCAACCCAAACTTGGTTAATATGATTGCATCAAAGAACATGCCACTGCCAGCGCCCAATGTCTTAGCTTAGTCTTCACTTGTTGTGGATTTTCCCCTGGAAAACAAAGCAGTTAATTTCAAGAAACCAGTGCCAATCGAAACGTATGAGATTTTTGGATCCCACGTGGAAAAAATATTGGCTTTCGTCTAGGGTTTTTTTTTTCTAAAAGGAAGCCAATATTTTAAATTACATTACGTATTGTATTTAGTCACTGAACTTATTCTTGCGATTTTATTTTATTCATTCAATTAATTTTTATATATCTATTATAACATTTTGGTTATGTTTTGATCACTCAACGTTAAGAAATTAATAATGATGTTGACGTGTCATTATAAGACAATGCCACATTATCGTTGAAGAAGAATAAAAATTATGTCAGCAGTTCTATTTATTTTATATCGCATGTGACTAAAAGCAAAAGGTATAATGCCAAAATTAACCTCCAATATTTAGCAAAATGATCATTTTGGTCTCTATTCTTCTTTTAGCATTTTGGTCCCTAATATTTCATTTTAGGGCAAAAAGACTCTTAATGTTTGATCAAATAGTCACTTTGACCCTTAATCTTTTTTGGAGTGTTTTAGCCCTTAATATTTTATTTTTAGGGTAAAAAGACTCATATTTTGGAGTGTTAATCATTTGTTAATTAATGATTTCCATATATAGAGGGGTCTTTTTATGCCCAAAGTGAAACATTAAGGGCAAAATGCTCCAAAAAAGAATAAGGCCATAATGATCATTTTGATAAACGTAAGAGATTTTTTTTTGATATTATACCAAATAAAACTAAAACGTTAAGTATGCTTTTAAAAAAATAAAATGTTATATGACCAAAATGAAATCGTAAAAATAAGTGGTGACTAAACACGCAGTTTATCTAGTATTTCAAGTACCGGTATTTGAAGGGTGCTAGGAAGGCATCGACATAAATATTTTAAGAATGGTTTGAATCGTATTGGAATTCCTTTACCTGGACTGCAAATTTTCCAATCAGCCAGCTCACTAACAGGACTGTCAAAAGACGATGATCGGCTACCAAGTGAAAACGTATAGGAAGAACGTCCGCTTTGAGGCGTCGAAACCGGACTAGGCGTAAGCCGACGGTTTACGGCGAAATAAAAGTCCAAAGCCGGCAACGTATGGCACAGTTTCAGACCATCTTCTTCGTTGAATCCAAATCCAAGCTCAATGCAACCTCTAAGTTCATGCAAATCATCATCCGTCAACCCAATTTTCCCTCTGTGGCGTCGCCGCCTCTCCCAGGCCATGTCCCGAGACGTCTCGCACAGCGACAACTGCTTCGACAAATACCTCCTGTTTTTCATCAATGGTGGAGGCACCAACGGCATCCGTTTCAACTCTTCCTTTTCAAACTCGCATAATGACGATATTGATGTTGTCCCCATTTTCATCAGCTCTCCATCTTTCACCATGTCTTTTCTCAAATTTACAGATACACACACATATATGTATGAGTTTTTAAAGGTTCTTCTTGTTTATTGTCTGCAATGGAACGGAAAAACGGAAGCTTTTAACGCCATATGGTGGCCACTGGAAGCTAAACTAAAACCTGAGGGCGGCCAGGCAATGGTTTTGAAAGGATAAAAGCGAGGGATTTGAAATGAGGTATTTATATGGTGAAACAAAGATTTGGCATGCATGAGTTAGGATGATTGGACCGTACATCTGTACCTGTTAAGTCGACGTTACATTGTTGTGAAAGTTTACAGTCTGCTAAGAAAACCATTTGAACTAAAGACAACGGTTCGAACCTTCCAACAAAATTCGGGAAAGTTATTAATTAACTTGAATCAAGCAAGGTCTCAACTCTGTTATCTCTCATCTTCTGCTGCTCTACTTGTTGCTCGTGCTCCGGTTTGAAACCGACAAAACCACAATTCGGTTTGAGTTTCTTATTTTACGGTTCCATTTTGGTTTGATTTAAGTATTCAATTCTATAATAGGTTAAATTATGCATTTAGTATCTAAACTATCAATTTTGGTTCGTTTTAGTTCTTAACCTTTTAATTTTTTCAAAATCATACCTAAAGTTTAATTTTTGTTTCATTTTAGTACCTTTGTTCAAAACTTAACGTTAAATTTTGAATTTTTGTTTTGAAAGTTTAGGTACTATAACAGGCCAAAAATGATAGTTTATATACTAAACACGTTAAGTTTTTCACGATGGGTACTAAAATGAAACAAAAACTAAACGTTAGCTATGATTTTGAAAAAATTGAAAATTTAGATACTAAAACAGGCCAAAACTGATAGTTCAGATACTAAATGTGTAATTTACCCTTTATAATTTAGTTCAATTTTGATTTCTCATACTAAATTCATTTGTTTCAAATTAAACCAAATTAAAAGAGAGAGACAAATAAAGATTCAAATAAAATCTATCTTGAAATTATGACATTTCAAATTTAAATATAAATAAACTCCTTAAACTAATAATATTATTTCTTGTGAATTTAAACTTTTTTGAACTCAATTTAAAAAGTTTTTTTTTTATGTTGAGTTAAAAAATAGTCTACTTTTAAAAACAACAAAATCGAATATCTAATTTTTCGATAAATAAACTCTAACTTCTTTTACACACAATAGCAGAGCCATAGCTTGGTAAGAGTGGACACATGCTCACCCTGGAATCTGAATTTTCTTCAATTAATTACTTATTTTACTGATGGTGCCACATTGAAATCTAAGTTTTCTTTGATTAGTTACTTATTTTAAGGATGGTCTCCACCCTGAAATTTTATTTGTACCTATCCCATTAAAAATTTTATGTTGTTAACATATGTGTGTCCATCCTAAAAAAATATTTCTTGATCAGCTACTGTTTACATACCTCAAATATTTTTAACGATGAGTGACTAATTTTGTAACACCCACAGACCGATGTAGGTGACTCGATCCAATCCGGGGTGTCACATTAGGGCCACCGAAGCAACCCACCGTATAAATCCCAGAAAATTAAAATTTATGTTAAAGCGTGTAATACCATAAAACAATTTATATATATTAAAAATAGAATTTAAAAATATCCAAAAATAAAACATATTTCAGACCCAGATATAAAAAAAATACAACTTACATGCCCCCTAATCACATGCACCGTACTCCGCAAGCAACGCTGGTGGAACTCCCTTACTGATGTCGATAGATGCACTGGTTCGATTCTTTTAACCTGAAATGGTGAGTAAAAGAATGAGCTTTGGGAAGCTCAGTAATACAGAACTACTAAGTGATGCTAAAGGACATGCAGATAATAGGCAAGCAAATTTTCCTTATTGATTCAAACATCTACAGATTTTTGTGATGAGCCAAGGTCCTACTAATATTTCATCGTGTAAAAGTCATGAAGATTTTAGTTCTTAAAAACATTTAGAGCACAAGGTTTTCAGGAGATTGTAATATGATGTCTAGTGTGTTCCAACAAAAAACTAGTGAAATGGTCATTACAACAAATTTATCCATTTATGACAAAATTTCTATATGACATTATATATAACGTCACAAAATATACTATAAACATGACGTTTTTCTATTTTCGTCGCATTTAGTTATTGATTGTATGTATTTTATGAAAATTTTAAAATTTGTCATTGATTTTCGTCACTATACGCTTCGAGCCAAAATTTACCTCCAAAAAATGGTGGGAAATCTTTCAATGACGTTTAGATAAAATGGCAACGCCTTAAAATCATCTCTAATAAAATGGAAGTATCAGTGACATTCTAGATTTGTCAGTAATAAGTTTTATTTGCAACAATTTGATTCGTCATATTATGCAAGATATAAAAGATGACGTTTTATTCGTGCAAAAAATAAGTTTAACCTGATGAAGGCAATTATCTGTCACAATCTCTTATATTTTATGAAAATTTTGAAAATTTTGGAAAAAAAAAACTTTTTGTGACATCTTATATC